ATTTTGCATGGACGTCACGCACTTTTGCTGTTCAAAGCAAAATTTCCCGTACCGCCTTCAACTTTGCCGAGTCAGGGATGTTATGAACTATTGGGTTCACTTTAAGCATAAGTTTCTTATTTATTTCTGTGGTGATAAAGCTTATCAGGTGATCCACCTTGGTTGGTGTTCCGATGTCAATTCCATTGATGGGTCCATTACACGTCGTGATGTTCAGTGGCAAGAGGTTGCTAATCTGGGCTCTAATTTCATCTAGCTGGGGTGACGCTTCGGACGCCCATATCACCTTTTCTTGTAGTGCATTATTCTGTTTGTAATCCTTCAGTTTACTTCTTTCTACCCGCGGTTCCCCTATAGAGGATTTCAGGCTTTTGATTTCTGGAAAGTGACGATGTCACACTTGGTGACTGAAGTCTAGTTAGTCTTACAAAGGACGTGAAGCTTCCATCAAGCCTTTGGTCCGCTTCAACATTTGGTTTGTGGCCTTATTACATGTTCAACCTGCAGGGTTGTTTTTATTATCATTAACGTTGACTGGTTTGTCTAATATAGCTCCCTTTCTCCTGAGCATAACTTAGGTATGCTGTTGCAAAAGTAACCTGCTTTTGCCGTTTCCAACAGTTAAGTATTGCTGATGCAGGTAACTGTGTCCGTCCCTTTTTACACTCACCACCCATATCTAGTTGCATGCCTGACGTGTAGTTAGTCGGCTGAAAACTAAAATGGCTTTATGGCGACACCAGCAGCAAAGTTATGATACAGTTTCAAAATCACGTTAAAATGTAACATGATTTTAAACATCCAGTAACCTGGGTGGCTCCGCGGCGGGTTTTCATACAAGAGTGTCTGCGGTTATCTATACTCTTTGCCATCTGCCCATTTGAAGCATAAAGGTTACGCGCTTGCTGATGTGGGACTGTTTGCCCGCTAGGCTACTGGAAGGTCCTATGGTGACAGGGTGCTTGTGGCTGGTGCTCGGCATGTTTATATGCTGAAAAGCCCCTGGTGACGACGCAGTAATGTCTTCAGCATTGTGTCTGACCGGTAGCGCAGCACCTGGTTTGGTGGTGATTTGTGTGACAGGGTGAGACGGCGACTGGGTTTCCTCTTCTGAAGGCAGTGAGATCGCTTTTAAGAGATTATGCCCCTGGCTTCGAGAATTGTCAGTCGATTCGCTCAAGCCTGCCGTAGTATCATTGGCTTTTTTTCTCTATCTGTGTGTGAGTGCACTGTTTTTGGGGGCTTGGCATGCTTCATTTCGTTGTTTCGGTACAGGAACCAGTTCGCTAACAGATTGTGTTGCTGTTGTGGATACCACAGCCTGACTACAGCTCGGTACCCCTGACACTTTTGTGCGATTACTTTTCTGACAAGGTGTTAAGCCTTGTGAAAGTTCGACACTTTCACATGGTGTGGATGTACTGACAAGTTGATTACATGATGGTAAGTGTCCAGTGTGGCAAGAGTTGTTAAATGTGAACAACAGGGGGCAGGTATGTTTCCCCAACTTTTCTCGGAGGCGAATATCTTAGCATCCTGCAGAAGACGTATTACAAGCTTGCGAACATAAGACTTTCAGTTGTCTGATTGGCTCGCGGTAGGGGATGTTGTATACTAGTACATTACGTGAGGACACAATTCTTTTGTTAATCTCTGTAGCCATGAGATCTGATTTCAACGGGCTTTCAGTACTGGCTTCTGGATTAGGCTGACAAAGATGCAGCAGTGGTAGGATGATTTAGAGCTTAGAGTTCATGACTTGGAGTGACTTCTGCAAGGTTATCGAATCTTCTTTATTTTTACGCGAAGTGTAGTATAGCTCTGATATCAAACTGAGTACCTTAACTCTAAGGCCTCTTCTGGGGTCTGATTTTGAACCAGTTGGCGAAAGCTTTTTTAGCTGAGATGCTAGGATTAAGCTTAAGTGTACGCACAGCACATATACGCCTGTCGAGATGGACGACGGTTGCGCAGTAGCAGTTACCCGTTTATTGGGTTTGTTAATACCGAAAAGCAAGTAATATAACCAGCAGTTGCAGGGGACTTAAAAACGACAAATATGAGGGTTATTAACAAATATATCCTCACAGTTTAGGTGGAGTATATTGCAAAACTATTAGGTCTCAAAGTTAACAGCGTTACTTTGTGGCCAAACAAGGTGAGACTGACGAAAGACTCTAAGTTGGTCCTCGTTCTGGCTACTCCCTTTCTCAGCAGTAATTTCACGCCTTCCTCTGTGTATATCCAAATGGGTCTATTGAAGGTGGTATTCATTAACGTTCCAGAAGCGGGATATAATCCTCAGGAGGTTGAGCTCCTTGGAAAAAGAATTTTTTTCTGTGCAAGCAGATCTACTAAACTGCTTAGAATATCGACATACAATGCCACGATATGTAGGAGAGTACTTTTAAAAGAGTTGATTGACATACCCTCTGCACCACTAATGACTCTTAAAATCTTGCGGATTTTTCGATATATATCAATGTGAGGATGCCTATGAACTGGTTTTTCTCACGTTAAATTACTAATGTGAGAACGGACATTTACTTATTTGCTCATTTAAATATAACTCCGGAATTTCTTAGTTCTTAAGCTACTTCGCTCCTCACAAACGGTAGTTTCTTGACACTGGTTTCCTGTATGAATTTTTTCTTTTTTCTGTGCGGCGTTTGTTATTCCTGATGAATAAATGGCAGCATGGTGAATGACTGCTAATACGAGTGGAAGAAGTCTAGCAAGAGGAATGAAACACGACGAAGCCTCCAACATTCAGGATCCTGGCATAGATCTCACCCTCAACACAGCATTCACCGGAATCAGTAAGCTCTTGTTTTCAGCGTGATAGAAATACGTCTCCAGCTGACGAATTGGCAGAAGGCGAAAGACAGGACAAACGTGGCAGTGTACGACTGGGTCTACTCACACACATAGGGGCTGGCAAAAACACCCAAAACAGACAGCGGAATAATGAAGGAAAGGCAAACTTCTGGCAATTATGATCTTCGTGTTGCACCATAGGCTGAACCATCCTTTGTCTATGAAATGTACCTGAAGTGGACGCATCATGGCTGTGATAAGTATGAACGATGTTAATACCAGAAATGTACATCAAATTATCCATGCGGGTGGATATGCTAAATGGATGTAGACTTCTGGAAAATACCTGCTCTCACCCTCAGCAACTCAAGAAATTTAGTATACCCAAAGACGTCAAGATGGACGCACCCCAAAATCCATCCGCAGAAATACGTCGAGCCTGGCGGACACTCAGGCCACAAATGTGGAAAAGTGTCAACTCTCTTCACAATAATAGACCAGGATCAGCCGCGTTCTCAGGAATTAACACCATTTTTATCATCGTGTGAGACACCGAAAAGATCTACACTTCTCTTGTCGAAGAAGCCCAGACCAAGTAGAGAAACAGGGTGAAATGATAGATCAGGTCTGGGAAAAACCTGATGGCGAACAAGTCTGCACAACAATCTACAGGATTTACTCAAGTTGAAGGACATCATCCGGTGTATCATGAAGGGCGATTATAAGCTTACTGCTGTTCCTTCTAATCCTGAGAACGAACTCCCGAAGAGTCTCGGCTCCCCGATGCTATTTTAAGTTGACGACACTAGGTTATGGAGAGCTATGAATCCAAAACAGAATCAAGCGCGCATTAAGGTGACTCCAGATCGCTTGCGCAGTGGGTGGATAATTAAGGACTGACGCTTAACCTGGGCGAATGCCGAAAAATAGTCCTCCCCACTCACGACTCTCACGAATTACTCCGCTGTCTCTGTGATACCCGTTTTCTCACAAAATCACGAAGAATCGCCCAGGGCTAACACCAACCCACAAGCTAGATACCAGCTTCGATTCTCCTGAAGACGCCTCCACAGCCTATGAGGTACTGTAATCCATGCTCAGACAACCAGGTACCCCGAATTCTTTCTGAAGCTCTGAGACAACCATATGCCACCTCCACAACGCCACTTCACCACCATACCTGAAGAAGTATGTGAACTGCCTGGATAAAGCCTAGAGGCGAGAAACGAGGGTGTTGTCAGAAGGTAACCAAAGTCTTGCGAGGATGGACTGAAAGATCTAGGGCCTTACTCTCCTAGTTACCGTAGATTACACAGCTGCTTGGTTGCAGCCTACGAAATACTAGCTAATCCAAGTCACCTGAGCATTATTTCGTTCCACGGGTTTGAGGGCCTTGGAATGCATTCCTACCCAGATTGTTGCTGCCTCGTCTGTTGACAATTTCAAGATGTTAGACAGCTATACAGTGGTGCATGGCTTGCTCTGACCCAGGTGGGATACGGGCTAGGTCACTACAACCGACGAAATCCGCATCATTATAGTACATTTAGCCATATTCCGAATGGTGTTTGTTGCCAATATCATAGCAAACGTGGCTCAACCGCATACTTTCCTGGTCCACCTCACACCAGTTATCATAACCTCACTTATAACATTACTATTTCTTTTCTCATCCCCGCTATATCCACACCTGCCTCTTCTCCTACCACCAATCGAGTGATTTCCCTCAATTTGTTAATGTTTTCTGCTAACTGTCTAGAGAGTCGACTACGAGCAGTGCAGCGTAACACGGCAGCGTGCCAAATGGCGAGGATGTTTGACCGGGTGCCTTCAGCTTAGCGAGTCCAGTTAAACCATCAAGGTCAGCATCAATATCGAGTGTCGTCAAACCCTAGGTTATTGATTTTGGGGAAGTGTTTGATACTACACTTCTCTTTCCCGTCTCTTCTTAATCTACCTAGGTCTCCATTCCTTTCATTCTGTTACTCTTCAACTTGTATTTTCGAACCGTTTCCCCGATGATTTTCACTCGATATCGTTTCACTTTTCTCATATTATTATTAAAACCAGTGCGAACTACTATCCGGTGCTCAAAATGTGAGAAAACATCCTCCACCACAATTCCGGGACAAATCACATTTATTCAGCACACAACCGCCCATCAAGTATAACTATACTACATCGGGAAAGTGGGCAGATACACCTCACCTGAATCGCTCCACAAGACCTAGAAGCAAGAGAAAGGAAATCAATTTGTAGACACATGCTCGCGGAGAGATATTGGATAAATTTCATCGGGAATTTTTAGTTCGAATTCGATTAGTTGCGTTACTGGCTGACTTTGGTGTATTTAGCTGTAACCTCTCATGTAAGCGTTTTCAAACGGACATTTGTTCATTGATAACGTGCAGTCATCTTTTTTATTTTAAAGACGGAAAATCATTGTTATCAAAGTGTAAAAACTTTGTTGCACTTTCTATTTTGAATTTAAGGACCATGGGCCACGAATAAGCTAAATTGGAAACCCTAGAAGTATCTTTTAAAGGAGAACCAATTGAATCTAAATTTTCTTAGAATGTTACTTGTCATTAGATATGCGACTGTAAATGCCAGGACTGACAAGTTCACGTTAGTAGATTGTTTTGAACTATTTCAAAATTTAGGAAACCAGGCAGGAAGTAATCCCTGATTATGCAATTCAGCTGTACTTTTCATGTTTCATTTTAAACGCGCCTATTCTATGCTTAATTCCATTTTAAATACTTTGAAGCAAATTTTTCGAAATACTTTGTTTTCATAATGATTGATATAATAATAACAACTGGTATGACAGCAATGATCATGCTGAGGAAACCTGGCATAATATTAAATCTGGTGTGGAAGAAGTTGTAGGGACAGTTGGTAATCCACACCCGTAGCTTAGAAAACGTCATTGAATTTCTGTGACGTCTTCCTATCTGATTGACAAACTTCAAACTTCGTGTTGTAGAATAAGCGAACTGCGGTTCCTTGGGTTCTACATCTGTCTCTGACGCGAGACCGAGTTCTGACGATGATGAAGAGTGAAAGCAAATTAGACGTAAGTTTACCAAGAATCTTCGCGTTGACCGCGGGTAGTGGTCGTTGGTGAAAGCGAGAAAGATACAGAAGGCATCACCGTTGTGTAACTTGGTAATTATTTAGGCTTATTAAAGATACTGGTCAGAAGACGATGATGAATGAGACCATTACCGAAAAGAATGGGACGCTGGTAACGTCTCAGGACAGGTGGGTAGAACGTCGGGCAGAGAACTTTGAAGCAAAGGTCAGTCGGCCCTCAGCAATGCTTCAGTTGCCCAAGATCCACTCGGCATTTGCCTACTTGCGTCACCTGTAGCGCCAACTGATAAAATATTCGACTATCCATCAGTGGACGAATATACTACGCTGCAATTCGTCCCCCTATTTTGTACGGCTGTAAGACATGACCGTGAAAAGTAGGAGACAAAGTATTTACAGGGTTTTGATCATAAGTATCTTCGTAGCAGTGCTTGCGTTTGGTGGAATCACCGTGTGAGCAATGTTGAGGTCAGATGAAGGTTACTGGGCAAGACAGGCAAATTAATTAATGAGGTTGTGAACCTAAATCGTCTGAGATGGCTTGGACGTACTGAGCATGCCAAGCTATCCCCTCCCTAGACGTACCATGCTGCGTGGAAGTTAAATTAGGTTTGAAGGGTGTCAAGGTGGCGAAACCAAGATCTGACTAAAGTCGATGAAGTCTGTGACTGTTGTTCTGAGTCATTTTAGGAGATGTAGACTATCTGGTTATGATCCCTGAGAAGAAAGGAACCAGTGGTTGGGGACTGCAGATGTATTCACTGCTTGACATTTTCTAAAGCTTGAGTATTCATTCTAAACTTTATCCTCTTTGATATCACTTTTTCTATCCACCTGTCCTTTGTGTGTATACTACGAAATGTGGCAACGTGAGCCGATGCACCTATGTGCAAGGTCCTACATTGATTTTGTCAGTCCTTCTTAGTCTGGTTACCTTTAGATTTCTTCCAAACTAACACAACTTCCAGCATTGCATGTCCAGGTAGGCAGTGCCTTCGCATGCGCAACACATCTCGAAGCCACCTCAGTTACTGAAGGCTCACAACCTCATCGACTCACCTGCCGTCTGTCTTGCCTATTACCCTTCACCTAACCTCTACCTTGCCCACATGGAGATCCCAATTTACGCGAACAATGCAAAGAAGTCACGTGTTGTCTTTTCATATCTTCTACCTTCAGCAACCATGTTTCACAACCCCACAACAGAGCAGAACAGACTGTAGTGCTGTATACTCGTCCTTTAATAGATAGTCGCATTTCTTACCAGTTGGCACTAGAGATGACAAGTTAGCGTATGCCAGACGAGCCTTATGTAACGGAGGTGAGATTTCGTCAGTAACCAGCCTGTTCGGTCTGATGCAACTTCCCAAGTGAGTTGATCGATACATCGAACCACTTCATTACATTTCCCCGCACTGGGATTAGGTGTAGGCCAGTCCTAAAAGATCATCTTACATATGACAGGTGCTAAATGCATGCCAATCATAGACGGATTTCTCCTCATCGCGTTCAAAAAACCCCACATTGTATTAGCGTCTTCACCTGGATACTTTAGGTCAACTACATTCCCTCCAGGATGTAGAGTAAAAGGCAGCGAACGTTATGTGAATTAGTTCATCTGTTATGATGTTAAACAGTCAGCGTGACGAGAGGCATGTCTGTCGGATACTACGAGTTGTTATGACGCCAGGTGATAACCCTCCATAGATCTGTACACCGCTGGACGAGTCCGAAAAGAGAGGTTTGAATACCGTTATATGCATACCTGGTACTCCTTTCACTAACATACACTACCACAGCATCAAACAATCCACAGAGATGAATGCCACAGTCGGGTTAGAAAAATACCTAGTGTCGGGCATCGGTAAGTGTCTATCTGTGTTCCGGAACATGTCTGAAGATGAAAATATAATTAACTCATCCTCCTATAGATCTGCAGCCTGCTTGGTTTTTTCGAGCTCCACTCTGACTTTTAGTGACCATGTAACCTAAAATGTTAGAGGCTATGTTCGACAGGCTGATTCTCTTGTGGTTATCACAAAAAGACTTCTCACCTTTGTTAAAGACTGGGACAATCAGTTATTGAGACCAGTCAAGGGGATCATATCTAACTCCCATACACTAGTTAACAGTTCAGTTAACTCGACTTAAAGTCCTCGACCACCTACTTTAAATACCTCTGCGAGTAGTCCATTTAGCCCTGCTACTCTTCCTCGTTTCAGGTTGCCTACCGCTTTGTCAACTTCTGTAAGTGCTGAGGCTCCTATCCTGATATTCCATTCAAGTTCCGACTGGATAACGAGGAATTGAATGATAGTGGGAACCCAGTTGAACTGTTCCTCAAGATGTTTCGCCGATTGCTGTATTCGTTTCTTCTGTGATTGAATCATACACCTATCCTTCCCCTTGATAGTCCCACTAGTCACTAACGTTTTCCCGTAGTTTGGTTACTAAGTGTAAATAACTGTGAGTGTTTCGTATCATGACTTCTTTTTCCATGTCTTTCACCTTCGCTGACCGTCATTGTTCGCAGTCATTGCGTAGACATTTTGTCAGTCTTCATTTGAGTTGCATTTGCTCTTCTTTATAGTCTGAGCCGAGAAGGTTGTCTTTGCATGGATTTAATAATTCAGAAGAAGCTGGCGAAATCCATAGGCTGCTTTTAACCGCTCCTTGAGAGTAGGCTACGATCTCCAGTGCTATTTTTACAGCAGACTGTGGACGACGCTACGCCTCTTGTGTGTGAGTAATATTGTTGAGTTGCGGTAACTGTCTGGCCAATTTTTCACTGAAAGCGATCTTAGTGCTCTTATTGTTGTGCTCCACTTTCAATAATCTTGTGGCTAACATTTGCATACGTCTATTCAAACGCAGACATACAAATGTTCGAACCAACTGGTAGTTTCTGTCGAATCATGGACTTCGGAGTGACTGGCAACCTTCCACTGACCTTTTCAGCGATGACTTATTGCAATGTAGCCTGTCCGTGTCCACTACTGAGTCGATGTCTTTGGACGTTAGACAATGTCTCTCTTTATGTCTTGTGTTTGTACTGGCTAGAAGTAAATCGTTATCTGCACAGAGTTATAGCAGGCGATCGCCGTTATCTATGCCTTCAGCTGGGACTCCGAAAGTGCCACATGAATGCCTTTCTGCCTGACTTACGTTCCTATTTAAGCATTGAAATCTGCGACAACTACAATGTCTGAGCGCTTGGTTTTCAGGAGGTTTGACAGTTTTCGATAGAACTCATCCTTCACTTCGTCCGAACTGCGATAAGTGGGTACATAAGGAGAGAGTTGGGACAGGATGGCTAGTTTCAATGTTATTTTTAGTTTTAACTGTGCTGTTCAGTCGCACGGGTGTCTGTCAACTGGGAATCAGTCCACTAGTGCCTTTTCTGCCCTGCTATACGTACACCTGGAAGACCAGGAGATCTAGCCATTAAATCTCCAGAAACTGGTAGGGTTTACTTCTGGAATCACCATTGTGACTGATCGAGGTCAAGTGAGTAACTGTATTTAGTTTTTGCATGCGTGTCTGGAAAACACAGCACATACCCATAACCGAGGATGCTATAGTTTCGGTTAATGAAGCTGGTTAGCAGATTTGATGGGGAGTGTGGACATTGGTAGCTCTGTTGTGTAGTTCGGAGCGCGGTTTCAGAAGACCAGATATGCTGTTCCGTGAACTGGAATGATTATAAATGTCTGCAGAACTGGAGCAGATTGGAGATACTCATGGAGAGACGTGAGAGTAGACTAGCAGTGAAAAATGTCGGTTGATGGAGATGTCAGGAAACTTTATTTTGACTGAACTGTGAACGTGGTTGACACTTCTCGGTTGCTCACACTTAAGAACTTGATATCTTCGTGAGTGTGGAAGAAAGTGGATTGATTTTGTGTAGACGCGGAGTCCAAGTGCCATTTTCTTGAGCCTAATCACACTACTGTTTCGGAAGTTTGAGGTTTAAATTTGCGTTAATTAAATTCAGCTATAAAACACCGAGACCAGAAGACTGCAGGGTAGTGGGTGTCTGATATTTTGGTGTCCAACCCTTTCTAACCTCTCTTCCCTATAGGAAGGCAGCATCAGCACGGTCTTCTAGTTTTCCACGGGAACCATCTAATCACTGTCATAGTCTCGTCCAGTTATGAGTACGACTTCACACTCTGACCTCCATTGTACCATAGCAACTGCCCACCAACAAACCTTTTGGTAAGTAAGGACTCTAAGGAAAATATTTCGCTACCAGCATAGATCTTTGGGTCATTGTTGTATGTAAACTTGATCAGTATATCGTGTCAGTTTTCGACCAGGGGTGAAATGTTAGCACAAGGCCTCACACTTTTGTTAAGGCACACATACAGTCATTCATCCTTGTTGAATGGAGCATTCGTAGGTAGTAGACGCTAAAGTACTATTCTACTGGTGTATCAAGTTGCATCCGGAATATGATAATAGTAATAATAATAATAATAACAATAATTCACTTTATTCCAAATATTTTGTGGTACAATCTGGAATTCTCAGCATGAATCAATTGTCTGGCCAATTTCTCACTGAAAGCATCTTAGCGCTCTTATTATTAAGCTCCACTTTCAATAATCTTGTAGCTAACGTTTGCATACGTCCATTCAGACGTATGGAAGCGTATCTGCGAATCGTGTTGGCCCTTAGGATTGATATCTGTGTTATCCATCAGGTGACAGCTGTTTACGATTTTTGTCTGAAAGCCTGACTTTCTGATCTGTGCTGACGTGGTGTGTGTGCTTTTGTGAGCACATGTTATGTTACCATATTAAGGTAAAGAAATGAGCTGTTCCGAATACCAGTCCAATCACAAAAAAGAAACATTTCCTCTTATTGTTTTCGTATTCAGCTGGGGCACTAAGTCTGGTTGTAGACAGCTCGTTATCATATCCTGTTCCATTACTGTCCATAGTAAATAATGAAGAGACATTTTTGAATTTAGTCCTTACCTTTATAGCTTACGTCATGTTTTCGATTTGAGTTGCTTTACCTGTTCTAATTATTTGCATTCTCAGGCACTTATTAGATACGATATACAAAATGTCTTATAAAATAATACCTATACCTCGGTAAAGAAAATGCACTTAAAGTTCAGAATTCGTTTACAAATAACAACACTGCTATTCGTGGCCATTTGGTTGATTATAATATGGAAATTTTTGAAAATCTCAAACACACATATACCGAAAGCGTGGTTCTTCCAAACAAAAATTCGAAAACTAAAGCCGACATTTATCAAATCTTCTGGATATGAATGTAATTCACATGACATAAAAGTTTCCCAACCTCAAGTGGGTATATATCATGAAAAAAACCTTCAGGCGAATTCTTGTCTAGGTTGTAAGAATTCCGTGGTGGTTTTTACATTTTCAAAAAGTTCATCTGCAAACAGATACTTGGTCTATTTTATGAAGGCTTTGCTGATTCCACATCATGTCATTGCTGTGAATCATGCACAACTAAACAATATTCCAGTTCTCCTCAAAGTCCTGTCACATACTGAACGCATCACTGTAATAATGTTCGAAAATTTTGCCATTTATACTAATTTACCACCCACAGAAAAGTCTCAGGTTGATAATTTCTGCAGAAAGCACAATGTTCGAGTGATTGGGTTTTTCTCTGATGGTGAGACTTTTACCACTGAAGCTGGTACTTGGTCCAAGGTTAGTTGTTTTTATTTATTCCCATTCAGATAATCAATCTTTTTGTCTTAGTTTTGAATACAGATTTGTTGTTATCTTTCCCTGCAATCTTGAGTGACGTGAAATTGAATAGATCTGTACTCAATAAACTAAGTCTCAAATGATTCAGTGTAATGGTTGATAAACCAGTCATCCACGTAGCTAACATTTAAGTTTCCAAACAGTAGTATTTTAGTGCTACTCTGCTGCAAATTAACTGCATTCAGATGTGCACTTGATGAATTGATAGGACATGAATATATTGGGAGAGTTTGTCAACAAAATACACTAACTCATATAAAAATGGATTACACTTATTCATTACTTTTAGGCTGAAAAGAAAGTTTTCGAAGTGATCAATGTTATTCATCTGGCAAACTCACCTTTTCGAATATGTGTGAACTCACTGGTTAACTTCTGCATTATTTTAGGCGTATCTATTACGCTAGGTCGTAGAATAACAAACACACTGCCTTACGGAATCCCAGCTAGCAATCTTCTGTTCATTGTTTTGATAGACATTCAAGTGTTGTCTTCGTGACGGACGATGTCAGTCCTCATTGACTAAAAGACCTGATACATGTGTTATACACACCTAGTCACAATTCATTATCGATGTACTATACTAACTAGATCGGAGTCATGCTATAAAAAAAACTATGGGATATAAAACCAAAAGATGGTTTCAATCCATGAAGTCTGTGGCTGTTGGTTGCAACGACCCAGGCAAGTGTAGAATTCCAGGACATTATCCACATGACAACCAGAACTTGTAGTTCGCGATCCTTAGTAACATGACTGTTAGTGAAACAGATGCATCCATGCTTTACCATAACCACCGTTATATTGAACTTCCCTGTCTACTTTCATCTTTGATCTTTTTGTTCGATGTGTCTCAGTAACATTTGATTTCATTATATGAATTTATTCACCTTTCTTGTAGCGTTGTCTTATCGCATTGGTCTGGGATGCAGCAAATTAGTGTTATGCAGTAACTTTAGGTTCCATAATAATGTTGCCTTACTGTATCAAAAATATTAGAACTAGTCATCTTTGCTGATACGTGAGACGTAAATGGAATGGGAGAACGAAGTTTCTTTTGTATGAAATCTCCTATGTGAATGGCTTAAGCTTTAACAACGAAATTAATGTCATCAGGTACTAGTTTCAGCAAACAATATTCCACTTTGTGGAGAACTTTTAAAAAAGTTACTGCAATTATTCTGTCATTGTTGAGGTCACATCACTTTCTTATAGTCCACTTCCACTTATCTGCAACTATACAGGATAATATCCTTGAACCCAGCGCGATGAGATTCATGTTAGAAAACCAATTTACCTAAGTCCATAGCAGCAGGTGAACTGGTATACTAGTATAGAGGTGGTTTGTATTCTAGGCAATTGTGAAGAGAGTGTACAATCCTTCTCTATAGAATATTAGCAGCTGGGTCACTTTTGGATTTGAGGTTCATACACGGCATCTTTTTCGGTACAGAAACGACATTTCTTTGACTTTTGGTTTCGATATCTATGAAACGTGGTCTGCATTCAATTTCCTCCATAATTTATCCTAAAGGTATTGTTTCCTTTTCTACAGCATTGAAGTTCCAGATAGGTTGCATTCTCATAGCATAGATAACACTGTTTATTTTGTGACCCATAGGCGCCCGAATGTCGAAAATTGTCAAATGAGCATTCTATATACGTTTCGTGTAAATCAATCTTACCAATGTTTCGTCAGTTTACCTTGTTAGGTTCATGTAAAGAAAGGGAATTCTAGGTTTGTTTTACGCTTCAAAAGTGACTTTTCCTACTATATGGTAGCTATAAGATAGATAGGTGATTCAGGTAGCACTTACCACAAGTCTTAACAGACAGACAGATGGAAATAATTAATATAGGACCTAGAATTTCTGTATAACAGTTCAAGTTGCAACACCATATCAGCACACCAAGCAAGAATGCACTCAGTTGAAAGGTAAAGAAATAAAGAAAAACAAAGTGACAGGCGGTAAAAAGTCACCGAAAAGAGAACAAGGAAGAGTGAGAAAATGCTTAATTCACTATTATGATTAAGATAAAAATAATATGTGGGCATCCTCCCCACTGATGTCTTTTCAAAGCCATGTCACTTATAGTCTCCAACCAATAGTTTCTGTTTTCTCGCGAACCCCAACTGAACGGTCTACATTTCCCTTCATGACTCAGACCAACAGTCAGAAACTTTAATGACTGGGTGTATGTTTTATTTTGGGCTCCTCTAACCTTTTTCCAGCCTGAACATACTTCAGCTAAAATTGTACAAAGGGACAGAAGGTGACTGGGTATGTGGAATACGTGTCCAGTCACAACAGTCAACAAAGATTCACAACGTGATCAATTGAATTTCCTCTTTTCCGTGAAACTCTACGCCTGGCTTTTACGTTACTTTACGACAACACGGTCTATGCTAGGGAGGCAACGCTGGTCAAACACGTGGAGTATTTTTATGTCCTCTTTATTTAATGGCCATGTTTAACAGATATACAGTAGAATAGAGCGAACTGCAGTGGAATAATCATCATCATCATCATTATCAACATAGGACCAGGCATTACTGCGTAACGGTCCGAGTTGCCACACCTCATATCAGCACATCAAGTAAAAAGGTAGTGAGGTGAAGGATGAAGATAAGTGAATGCAGTCAAAAGAAATATAAAGTACGAGAAGAAAGGAAAGAGGAGTGACAAAATAGTGAGATTCGGTATAGCGTTGTTAAGATGAGGATAATGTGTGTATACATCTGCGCCACTGACTTCGGTTCTGAGCCATATCACCTAGGGTCTCCAACCACTGGTTCCTCTTGTCCCGTGGACCCCAACCACCTAGTCTGCATCGTCCTACATGGCTTAAACCAACAGTCAGAGACTTCATACATTGGTGCCATGTTTTAGTCTGGCCACCTCGGGCCTTTTTCCAGCCTGAACCCACCTCAGCCAACATTGTGTGACGAGGCAATCGGTGACTAGGCATACGTAGTACGTGTCCCAACCATCTCAGTCGATGAAGGTTCACAACCTCGTCGACTGACTTACCTCTTCTCCCTAAAACTCTACACCTAACTTCTGCATTACTCACATGGTGACACCACGGAATACGTCCTATACTACGAAGGCAACGGTGGTCAAATACCTGTAACCTTCTCATGTCTTCCACTTTCAATGGCCATGTTTCACAGCCATACAGTAGAACAGAGCGGACTGCTGTGCAGTACACGCGACCCTTAATAGACAAACGAATATCACGGCGGCGCCATAGGTGGCGCAAATTGGCAAAAGCCAATCGAGCCTTTTGTATCCGTGCAGAAATCTCATCGGCAACTAACCCACCGGAGTTGATCCTACTTCCCAGGTAAGTGAAGTGGTCAACACACTCAACCACTTCACTCTCTATTGTTAACCGCGGTACCGCTGAAGACCAGTCCTGGAGCAAAAATTTGCATTTGGGTGGTGAAAATCGCATCCCAAACATTCTCAAATTCCCACTCAAAGTGTTCAGAAGACTCTGCATCTTGTCAGCGTCTTCACCTAACAGGACTATGTCATCTGCATATTCTAGATCTAAGGAAAATTCACCTGTGATCCGGTCAACGTCTTTGTAATTAGGTGACGAGAGGGAAACCTCCATAAGAATATCTATGATAAAATTAAATAAGAATGGGGATAGTGGGCATCCTTGACGGACACCACTTGATGAGTATAGCTCCCTGGACAACTCACCATAGGCTCTAACATGCCCACAAGTGTTCGAGTAGAGAGCTTTCAATAAGGTGATGTACTTACTAGGCACGCCTTTCAGTGACAGACACTGCCATAAGACTTCTCGATCAACGGAGTCAAATGCCGCCTTCAGGTCGAGAAATACAGCTATTGTCGGGCGTCTGTAAGCATGCCTATGTTCCAGGACCTGGCGCAGTGTGAATATTTGGTCGATACATCCACGGCCAGGTCTAAAGCCTGCCTGGTTTTCTCGGGCTTGCTGTTCCCGAGCTCCACTCAGGCGTCGGAGAATTATAGAACTTAGGATCTTAGACACTATGTTTGTCAGGCTGATTCCTCTGTGGTTATCACAAGAGGACTTCTCGCCTTTCTTGAAGACTGGGATGATCAGTGACTTAGACCAGTCGGAGGGGATCGTATTTGATTCCCATATACTGGCTAACACTTCCGTTAGCCTGACTAAGAGAACTCTACCACCATTCTTGTATACCTCAGCAGGTAGTCCGTCTGGTCCTGCTGCCCTTCCCCGTTTCAGGCTACCTACCGCTTTCTCAACTTCTTCTAGTGTTGGGGGACCTGTCTCTATGTCCCATTCAGGGTCCGACTGGATAGCGGGCAGCGCAATGGTGGCTGGAGGCCAGTTAAACTGTTCCTCAAAGTGTTCTGCCCATCGTCCCAGTCGCCTTCCCTGCGAGTGAATCGCCGATCCGTCCTTCTCCGCTATAACCTCACTAACTGTTGTTGACCATTTCCCCCCAGTCTCCTTAATAAGTCTAAATAACTGTCTACTGTTACCGATCGCCGCTGCCTTTTCCATCTCTTTAGCCTTTGCTGCCCACCACTGTTCACGATCGTTGCGCAGACTTTTCGTCAGTTTATTTTTAAGTTGCGCTCGCTCTTCATTGTACTCAGAGCCTGCAGGGATGCATTCACGTGCATCCATTAGTTTGGAAGAAGCTGCTGATATCCACTGGCTCTTTTTAGCCATTATCTTGGAGTCGGCTACAGTCTCCAGTGCTGCTTTTACAGTAGACTGAAGATGGCACCAAGCTTCTTCTGGATGAGTGACAGTCTTTTGTTCCGATAACTGCCTAGCCAACTTCTCACTGAACACGGCTTTGGTGTTTTCGTTGTCCAGCAGAACTCGTAGTGGTTTTGTTGCCAAATTTTTTCTACGTCCATTGAGACGCAGGCATATACGTGCTCGGACCAACGCATGATCGC